TGTGGCATTCGGAAACTTCCGTAGATGGAAGTCAATATCTCTGAGATTGGTGTGCTGTGAACCACCAAGATTGAGTTCAAAGCAAGTTATGTTGCGTGCGATTTTATTGAGGTATCTATCTGAGGGTCCCTGTGCAAAGTGAGCGCCAGTCGCTGGATCAGGATGTCAAGTCAAGGCCCCTCCGGTTTGCTCAGCTGGGGGCCAAATGTCCCGGGAACGGGAGGCATGTTCAAGCGAGAACATTGGAGAAGATTGCAAGGGTAAGTGTTCTTGAGGTGATTTCAGAGACTTGGTATTTCTCTTTGCTTCGAGGGGGGGGGTCATCAAATAAGACTCTGTGGCTTTGACTCTGTTCTAAGGAGTACTGTAACTTTCTCTTTGCATCTGCAAGTTCTTCTTCTTTGATAAACTGTTGGCGTTGCAACTCAGCAACTCTGTCTTTGGCGTCTACCAGTTGTTGGCACAGATCGCTAATCTGTTCTTGATCTATATCTTTATACATAGCCTGGATTTTGACTTGAGCTTTCAAGTCTCTTATTTCCTTGGCGGCTTTCTTGAGGAGGTTTTCAGCATCATCACGTTCTTGGGTTACTATTGTGAGCCTTTGTGTGGTCCAGATAGTTTCCTGTCACGGTCATGGAGGTGGCTGACCAACTCTGCGTTATTACCTTGCAACTCAGCATTCTCTTCATCTTTTGAAGTTGCACCATCAGCGTCCTCTTGTGAAGTATTAGGTCGAGCTTTCAGCTCGCTAATATCGCTTTCTGCTTTAGCAAGAGCCTATTGACTGCTCTCGAGTGTTTGTTTGAGGGCTCTCCCCTCAGCTGACATCACAACTGCCATTTTTCCTAACATCTCAGTTAGTGCCTGGTCTTTTAGTGGGGTGACTAAAGCTGTGGTTGTTAACAGAGGTGACCCCAAATAGTCGATGAGTCGATGATTTGGTGATTGGTGGACTTATATTATTATTATCTTATTATGCCAACTGAAGAATTAAATTTGTTTATTTGGGTGTTTTAGCTCTTTTCTCTGGAGCGTAAACTGATGCAAATGAGCTCATTAATCAATGAGGGGGGAAACAACATGATTCAACGATTAGTCGGCTAAAGGAAAAATCCGTCAAATCACATTCGACTATGAAAATTCTTAGTCGGGGACACCCCTAGTTGTTAATTGTGACAGTATAAATTCAAGTTTTATA